GATCTAGGAACAATGTGTCACTATAAAGCCCATATTTCTGTAAAACCGACAAGCTGTGTAAGATTTCAGCATTAAGTTATACTATCACAGGTTCTATCTTAGCCCTATCTCTCCCTCAAGCTTTTAACCTGTTTAGATAACTCAACACCATGTACTGAACATATGAAAGAAATTGCTCGATGTGGATGTCATGTTTCCAGAAATCAGTGCTGCCAAGTAATGTTTTCAGCAGATATTCTTCAGAATTCAAACAGTTAATATTAAATAGCTCCCTCTGCTATTCAACAGTGAACTTGAGGCTAGTTACCTAGAAGTACACTGTGCAGTTCAGACATGCACTTGGAAAAGGCATGGAAAAGTCACGGCTGCTCAAAATTGGATGTTACACAAAAGAAATTATAAAATTCTTTTAAGAGTGTGATGCACTTCTTATGTGATCCAAACTGAAGTAAACTATTGTCAGGTGGAAATCCGGAGTTTCAATTATGCACTCCTGTATTTCTAAAGCTATGATATGAGACCAGTAAAAAACAAAACAGAACCCCTGCCTGCTGGTGCTTCTGAGCCCGCCTGGCCCCATACTCAAGTAAAGACATGCATAAAAGAATGTCCATCTTGCCATCTATTCGCCTGGCTCAGAGCAGTGGACCCTTCTCTGGCCAGCACTAGAATAACAGCAGCTCTAGAACCTTGCCTGAAAATGTATCAAGCTTGGGTATGAAATACTGTAAAGGGTTCTCCAGCCATTCCTCTCAGAGATCCTAAACACAATTGAATTAGAACACCCAAAGTACTTTTAGTTTTTGTTTGCTTATAAGCCTACAGAACTGTCTTTTCTCAGTCCCTTCAATTTTGGACAGTCAGCTTTGATAGTTAACAGAAGTAACAACCATATGAAAACTTTTGTACTTGCTGTGAAATTCCCACTGAAGAGCTTCAATGTCTTTCTTAATGACCATTATTTAAAAACCCACAGAACAAATTCCCTTTAGGATTTAATTATCCTGGGGTCCTCCATTTTGAAAACAACCTGCCCATATATTTTGTTAAGAGCTAATGTTCCCACAATTTCATTTCTGTGAATCTAATCTAAGGAAGTAATTCTATTATTTAAAACTGGAAAATAGCTAGAAGTAACTCAAATGTCCAAGAATAAGAGAATTTATGCAAATATGGCACATGATCCAGATGGGTTCATAATGTAATCATTAAAGAGTATTGATAATGTACTGTGGAAGTGTCTTGTAACAGAATGATGGCAGCACTGTGTGTCTTTAGTGTAGAGTTGGTTGTGTCTAAGTCATAGGAAACTCTGACTTGTCTAGCTTGTCTGATACAGTTGTAAAGTTAGTGGACACATGGGCACCTATTTACATGAGTTGACTTCCATGAGTATTTTAATAGCATGTTTTTTGGACCAAAGGAGAGAGAAGATACATGCACAGGTTCCTGGGAGTGGGGAACAGAGGATAAGGAGGGCATATAATGATTAATATTACAACTTTAGGCTGATTTTCAAACTCCCTATAGAGAGCTTATGAGCAAAAACAAAACCCCTTTATTGCATGCTTTCATAGGGCCATGTACCTCTGCTTCATCACACTTATCACAACTGTAATTTGTGTAATTATTTGATTAATGTTTGTCTCCCTTTTTGGTCTGCAAGTTCTATTAGGGCAAGACTTCTCTTTGTTTTGCACGCTGCTTGACATATAGTCATGATAGTTGAGGGAAGGTGGGGAAGGGAGAAATAGAAGGTTAAGGAGAAAAGAGGGAAAAAAGGGGGAAAGGAGAAGACGGACGCCATGGGTCCAGGTGACACGACACTAGCAACCTGGGAAAGCGCTGTTTCCACTTGGAACGCTGCAAGGCCAAGCAGCAGTGAAATCAGCAGGAAGGCGGGGATGCCTTGGCACCGGGCAGGTTTGTGCCTTGGGGATACATGAGGAGATGGCATCCCAGGCAAGGCGGGATTCTCTAGTAGGACCAGCAGGGTGCATGTGACAGAGCACCAGCAACGTGGCAGAAGCCCAGCAGGAGAACAGCAACACGCTCAGGCCTCGACTTGTTCATGTATTCTCAACATCTGAGACCGGGGATCCCGGGACACATCAAGAAGGGGTGGGGGAAATGCCCCCATAAGGTCTAAGTGTAAGTGGGGATCCGAAGTCAGTAACATGGAGGTGTCGACTCCGGTGTGACCTGTCTGTAGCCTCAGATGGTTATTGCTAAGGACATCTGAAACACCCTAAGACTAAAACCAAAGAAAGGTTATCGAAACAGTAGTGAATTTAATGGCTGAGATGATGTTTCTCCTCTAATGTTCAGAATTAATCACTTCTATAATAAAAAACACATAACAGGAAAAAAATGTGCCTCATTTAAAGAACTGCTATTTTCTTTTATCAGATGCTAAGAATTTTGTAATCTACTGTTTCTGTCTTTTCTCCAGTTTTCAGAAAACTCAGTCAACACACTCAGTGAACACATTTTGTGTTCACCCACAGTAACTGTATCAGTGCAGTGATCTACACAGTTGCTTTCTTCTCATTTTACAAGGCCAAGGGCCACAAGGGAAAAAAATCCTCCACAAAGCCCTCTCTCTATTTTCGTCTGCCCCTGTTGACATGAATCTTTACTAGATGAATTAGTTTTTAAACATATTTAAAAACTCCCTCTAATATCCACATTGTCTTACGTGTGTGAATTACTTTTTCAATTAGATCAGTGAGAGTCAATGAGGGGTATAGAGAGAATGGGTTAGGATGAAAGGATGAGCTGACATATCAGAACCACCTGGAAACGACCTTTCAAAATGACACACAGCAGCTCACCTGTGCCCTCACAAACTATAAGCATCACTGCCATTGTGAGGTGACATACCCATGGTAGTTGTTATACCCTGGAAGAGAGTTAGGAGGTAAAAAGAATTAATAACCAGTGATAAGGATCATATTTTCACTAAAAGGTAAAGCTTGCACTCAGCAGCTTATTGGTTCCAATCCTGGATCTAATACTTATCCTAAATTCCTTCTTCTCAAATAAATATAAAAAAATCTTTAACACAGAAATATTAAATAAATGCTAAGTGCTAACAAATAGAGCTCAGTAAATGCCCCTGAGGCCTTATTTCTCAAGTCGTCTTGGGAATTCCTTTACATTGGGGGTTTCTCAATCTCGGCACCAATGACATTTTGAACTGGATAATTCTTTACTGTGGGGTGGTGCAGGGCTAAAGTGTGGGTCCCCTCAATGCCATACATTATGTTGAAGTCCTGAACCCCCAGTACCTCAGATGTAAATGTGTTTAGAGAGAGGGTCTTTAAAATGATAACTGATGCAAAATGAGGCCATTAGGATGAGCCCTCATCCAATATAACTGGTGTCCTTATAAGAGATTAGGACGCGGACATGTGAGAGGAAAGACCATGTGAGGACACAGGGAGGGGGTGGCCATCTGCAAGCCAGAAAGCGAGCTCTCAGAAGAAACGAACCCCACTGGCAACTTGATCTTGAACTGCTACCCTCCAGAACCGTGAGATAAAAATGTCTCTTGTTTAAGCCCCCCAGTCCGTGGCACTCTGTTATGGCAGCCCCACCAAATACTCCATGGGGGCTGACCTGTGTGCTATAGAATGTTCAGCAGCATCCCTGGCCCTCTGCCCACTGATACCTGTGGCAATCCCCTAACCCAACAGTTTAGATAGAGAAAATGTCTCCACACATTGCCAAATATCACCTGAAAAGCAAAATCACCCCTCCGCCCATCATCCTCCTGAGAACCACTGTTTCCAACAGCCTCTGGTCACCTCTGCATTGCTGGTGCTCTGCATGGTGACTGCTACCTAAGTAAGGAGATAATCAAGCTAGTCACTGAATGAACATACTTGCCAGGCTTCCTGTCTTGGGTCTCACGACTCCCTTGCAAACTCCTTTTGCTGCAATTAAAGTAGTAATTACTTCCAGTTGAGTTTATAGCCGACTGTGTACTTTTTAATGAAACAAGCAGTTTTCATTTTAGCGTTACTTCTGGCAACTCACAGATGTAAATATCACATCAGTGGTAAGCCCTACATTGCTTGTTTGGCATTGCTTACTCACCATGCATCAGGTCCTTGGATAGGCTCAGGGAGCGGGACTGCTTTTAGTTTGCGTAATGCACCACTTGTGCATTGTAAGAAATGACTACAACAAATTCTTATAGAGCCATTTGAGGCTCAGGGAATTCATAAAGAAAAGAAATGGTCATTTAAGTATTAAAATGCTTAACTCTAAGTCATAATGAGACTCCACAAGTTATCCAGAAACGCAAGAGCACACCAAAACACCAAAGTCAATGGAGACATTCTCTGGAAAGTGGGCGTCACAAACATCCTGGCACATTCATAAACGTGTAGTCTTAACATTGCCATCTCTGCTATCACGTTATTAGAAAGTAGTGTGTTTTGGTTGGAAGGTGGCAGGAGGGTGAAGACTGACTGAATGCCAAAGAGGCATTAGGAACTCTGGAAAGAACCGGAGACTGGTGGACATTTTGCACAGAGATAATTACTGACCAACCCCTTCCAATGACTTGTAGCTTGCACTGAACTATTCACAAGACACTGTTTTCAAGGACATGGTTTTAAATTGATACAGAGTCTATTCATTTACAAAACTCATTTATTACATTATTTTAATAGCTGGGATTCAAAGTGTTAAAAATTCGATTTACCTATGTGAAAAGAAAGACTAACAGTCATCATTTTTTATGTGCCATTTCCAAAGACTACGCTCAATGCTTTAAAGTTATTGTTTGTGACTTTAAATTACAGTACTAACACCCTACTCCAGTAATGTATAAGACACGGGTCTAACAAACAACTACCTTAGACTTGGGTAACAACTAGCAACTAACTGCTGTACTGGGCACGTTGGCATCCATGCATCAGGAGCTTACATGCTCGAGGCTGGAGTTATGACAGCCTTCCTTTCCAGAAATAAACAGGCCTGAACTCCTCAACTGCTCCTTGTGGTAGAAAGGTTGAAGAGTCCTTTTCTGAAGTTGGTTTCTCCGTGGAAGAGGGGAATGGCTTAAGGACATTCTGAAATCTAGAAACAAAACCAAACAAAAGACCTCTGCTATTGTAAAATGTCTGTGGGTTCTGCAAAGCTAGAGAACATGCAAAGTCAGCATTTTTAGAGAGAGCTGTTTTAGACGCAGGAGGTAAATGAACAAGTGAGGATATTTTGTAACTTTTTTTTTCCGGAAAGGCAAAAAAGAATGAAAATCAGTTAAAAATAATATCTAGAATTTAAAATCTTGACTTGGGCATTTATGAATATGAAATCTATATGGCAACAGAAAGTACCATATATTCTGATCACTGCATTGGAAGAGTCAGCCAAAGCCCACACTAATTCCTATTCCGTTTATTTCTCGGTTCGTTCTCAGCACCTTCAGCTGATCGTGGGCGACGATTCTGTCTTGGACTTGTTTCTGTGTCTTCAGGATCATTTCTGGAAACAGTAAGAAGGGGAAATGGCATCTTAGAAAATGATCATTATTATTTTACAGCAGTTTCTAGTTTGCAACTGTTTCTACAAGCGCTTTCACAGGCATTATTTCACTTAAACTTTCAAATAGCTCTCTAGTCCACTGACAAATCTATTATAATAATAACTATTATTATTATTCCCATTTCACGACTGAGAAAACAGTGACTTAGCAAAGGTCACAGACATAAGTGATAGAGCCAGGAATTGAACCCCTTTTCTTCAGAATCAAAATCTAGCAGGTTTATGCTTCTGCTTAACACATAGAAAGTTGAAAAAAAAAAAGGGCTCCCATCCATCCTAACAACAAGACAAAACCAGATAGTCTAACAAAATCGTAAGTTTACTTGATCCTGTCAGTGCTGAGGCTGTAAAAAAATAGAATGTTACCATGCAGGATACTATCTCTCCTCACATGTTAAAGCCCATTTTTAAAACATGTCACCAACCAATGGTGTAGACTAGGTCCTTAAATACACGTGCTTCGTTTCAAATCAATTCTATGCAACATGGACGGGTGCCTTGATAGATATCGAACAAAGGGAGATTATTCATTGATGTTCTTGTTGTGTACATTGCATCACCACACTAACAGGATCTGGACTAGCATGCATTCAAAACCACATGAATTTTTGAAAGAAAAATTAAAGAGTATAAGGGCTACATTCTAGCGTTTAAATAATGGTAGCAGTGGAAAGTGGCTGGAAAGCGTGAACTTAATTTCAGAGCGTTTGGTATTCAAAGTGAAGACAGAAGCAAATTGCATTCTACCACTCATCACTTAATAAAAAATGGAGAATCCGCTCACAGGAAAAAAAAAAGAAAAAGAAAACAAAATCCCAAAGAAAGATAAGCCCCTCCAAAAGAAGATGGGCCACACAAATTCTCTCACTGTTGGCAGAGCACTGGAGAAAGAGGTGGCTGTCGGCTAACATTTTAAAGAATTCTGAACTATGGGCTGAATCTTAGAAGAGGAAAAGTAGAAAGGATAATACATGTAAGGACCTTACTCAGGTCCAAAAATGACTTTCCAGATTCAAGATGGGTAGCCATAGCTGAATGGCAGTAGAGGGACACTAGACTCAAAAGGAATGGATAGTGAGAGATGGTCAATAAGCAGATGGCACTTAGGATTTTGTAAAGTGAAATAAGCAATACAAAAACAATCAGAGCAATAAACCTGGATGAGTTCTGCATGGTAACATTTATTAGATATAGTTCCTGGCAATTTCCTACAAGGAAAGTATCTATACTGTCTTTTGTATTTACCTATACTTTTATATTTACCTTTACTGATGCTCTTTATTTCTTTATGTGAATTTAAGTTACTGTCTACTGTCCTTCCATTTCAGCCTGAGACTCCCTTTAGTATAGTGTTTCTTGATGACCAATTCTCCCCATTTATTTTTTCCTCTGGGAAGGTCTAATTTCTCCTTCACTTTTGAAATACAGCTTGCTAAATATAGAATTCTTGATTGATAGTATTTTTTCTTGTAGCACTTTGAAATGTCATCCCACTGCCTCTAGCTGGCCCCCTGAGTTTCTGATGAGAAATCACCAGGTCCCTTATAAGTGATGAGTTGCTTGTCTCATGCTTCTTTCAAACTTTTCTCTGTCTTTGACAGAGTTCACTGAGTATCTTATATATGTAGATTAATGTTTTTCATCAAGTTTAGGAAGTTTTCAGCCATTATTTCTTGACATATTCTTTTTACCCCTTTCTCTTTCTTCTCTCCTCATGGGACTTCCACTGTGCATATGCTGGTATGCTTGCTGGTATCCCACAGGTCTGAGGCTGTTCATTATTCCTCATCCTTTTTTCTTTCTGTTCCTCAGACTAAATAATCTCAATTGAGCTATCTTAAAATTTGCTGATTCTACCCAAATCTTCTGCTGAGCCCCTTAGTAAATTTTTCATTTTAGTTATTATGCTTTTCAACTCCAGAATTCTTTTTTTAATCATTTCTATTTTTTTATCAGTATTGTCTATTTGGTGACACACCGTTCTCATACTTCACTTTAGTTCTTTAGACGTGGTTTCCTTTCAACATATTTCAAACAGCTGATTTAAAGGTTGGCTAGTAGTCTAATATCTGAGCTTCCTCTGGGGCATTTTTATTGTTTTTTTTCCCCCTGTATATGTGCCATAGAATCTTGTTTCTTTGTAAGTCTCATAATTTTTTTGTTGAAAACTGGACATCTGTAACAATATACAGTGGTAACTCTGCAAATCAGATTCTCCTACTTCTCCAGGGTTTGTTGATGTTGTTTAGTGACTTTCTCAACTAATTCTGTAAATGTGCACTCTTTGCTGTGTGTTGCCCGTGAAGTGTCTGCTTGGTTAGCTTAGTGATCAGCTAAAGACTGGATATAAGTTTCCTTGATCACCTGGAACAAATATAACACAGGACCCCTTGAAAAGCTAGTTTTTGCCAAAGCACTCTGTGTGTGTGTTGGGGTATGCATTCAACATTGACAATTCTGCCCCAGACAGTTCTACACACCTGGTTGAAGACAGCACAACTGTGGCTAACTGAGAACTAGTGCTACAGGTGGAAAAATGAGCTGGTGGTCAGAGTGCATTGTAGGACCGGACACTAGCCAGTGATCTAACTGCAACCAAGAGGCAAAACCCCTTCCTCTTGCAATGTTTATCCAGTGCCCTCTACTGATAAAACTTAACATCAAGAGAGCTGGCAAAAGAATATTTAAAGGGCCCAATTCAATTTTCACAGAACACACAAAAGAATGAATTTGGAGCCAAGAGGCAATAAACTGGTAACTGACACTGGAGATCTGAACCTTCATATGGGAAATCCAGTTATCCTGCTGGAAAGACCACATGGAGAGACCATGTGGAGAAGCCACATGGAGAAGTAGAGGCTCCCTGATTACATGGAAAAAGAGAGAGGTCCAGACAGCTCAGCTGAACATGGTCCTAAGGCCAGCTCAGACCGGACAATCATAAGCAAATAAAATGGTTGTGGTTTAATCTCCTAAGGTTTAGGGTGATTTGTTACACAGCAATTAAAACTAAACAGAAAATGTTTGTGTTTGCTTTCTGTTTTGGTTATCTATTGCTACATGACAAACCAGTCTCAAACTTAAGAGGCATAAAACAATATAATCACTTATTTGGTCATGAGTCTAGATCTGGGCAGCAGGGCTTGGAAGAGGTCGCTTAACTGGGTCTGGAGGATCGACTTTCAAGAAGGCTCACTTACATGACTGGCAGTCTGGTGCTGGTGATTGGCTGGGAGCTCAGTGAGGGGAGGGCTGAGTCTTTCGTTCTCCTCCAGGTGGCCTCTTCCCATGCCTAGATTGGGCTTCTCACACAGCAGAGTGGTTGGTTCCCAGAGGAACCATCCCAAGAGTGAGTGTTCCAAAAAGACAAGGCCCACTGAGCAGACACTCATCAAGCTTCTGCTCACATGGCCAAGCCCAGAATCAATGGGGGCCTCACAGTCTTAATACTGGGAGGAATGGTTCACAGGGGACAATAGGGGGGCACACCAAAGGAACCCTAACCCCAGGTGTATTCAGTTGTAAAAATTCATCAAGCTGTATACCTAAGATTTGTCCACTTCAATGTGTGTATGTTAAACTTTAATGAAGGTACGCCCCCAAAGATAGCCAAATTATTAATAGTCCTCCATTAGAAAATATGACAGGCTCATAAGTGCATGCAAATGACTTCTCATGGGGTTAAGGTGAAATGCAGACCATCAATAGAGAAAGTAATTTTGTCCTTTTCTGATAAAAAGTATTAGAGAAAGCTATTTCCTAAAATTGTCTTTTTAAGGCACTATGAGATAGAGTTAAAAAGATTTGTCAGTGACAATCCTTATCTACTCACAGGTTCTTAAAGCCATGTAAGCTGTGTCAGTAATGCCGAGAGCCTACT